CCCCGAATCCCAAAACCCTCAGCCGTCAATCCCAGCCCTCCGCACCAAACCCCAAATCCGGACCGACCCTACCCTGAAAATTGCAAGTCGTAATTTCCGAAACCACGCTGAGTGTGCCTCGAAGCGAGTCTCTCCAGAATCGGGAGCCTGGGCACGACTCATGTTTCAGCTACAACTAGAGACATTCCTCCAAGACCTGACAGACCTGAAGTCTATACTCCTCGCTAAATTAAATGCCACATCATATATGTTGAGGGTCTCGCTCCAGTGAAGGCAAAGCCAATCGGAGCTTAAGGCTGACTACGATGTTGAAAGCTTGCAAGCCCGAAGGGGCATTTGCTAGCGCATCAGGAGAATTACATAACAGGATGCAATGAGTGGCTCACTGCGAGTTTCGGGCATAGGGCTTCAGGGCTGGCTAGTCCAGAAACATCAAACCCTGAATGCAACCCGAGAAGTCTTCCGAAGCCCAGCAAAACGTTCCGCGTGGATCTTGAACTCGAAAATCTCTATACCCTACAACACCCAGAAGCCCTTAAACGAAAGAAGCAAATCCAAGCCGATGAAATTTGGCATCCTTTTAGTCACAGCGGAGCCTGCCTTAACTCTCGACCCGAGGTCCAAAGCCCCAAACCCAAAACCCTGAACCCCACAACCCCCAAAGCCAAAACTTTCGCGAATGCAGGAAGGTGTCTGCTGCAGATGTTGCACGATTGTGTGGGCAAGGATCAACAAGCATCGCAAATATAAGACTGCCTTTCGAACGTCCCTATCCGATCAAAACAGCAGAACTGGTGAACGACCAGCACCTGGATCCTAAATCCGACCTGAGCCTTCAGCCCGAAACCACCAAGACCAAAACCTTGCAGCCCTGCCCTTCACCCAGAAGCCGAAACCCGTCAGGGGACCATCGTCTTCATGGCATCACGCCTGGGATGAGTTGAATGGGTTCAGGGCTTTGTCATCCGCGCAGCTCCTCAAGGCGCGTTTATGCACAAGAGGCCAAGGGTTTCAGGAGCTTGGTACTGCTGGCTCCCAGTACTAGTTTTACGCCTCACCTCTACAAACTACCTCTCATCAGAATTGTTGTCCGAAAGGTCGGGGGGCGGGACTACCAGTACCAGTAGCACTACCACTACCACCTACCACCACTACTACCACACTACCACACTACCACACTACCACTACTACCACTACTGCTACTACTTCTACTACTACTACTACTACTACTACTACTACTACTACTACTACTACTACTACTTCTGCTTCTGCTTCTGCCTCTTTTTCTGCTTCTGCTTCTGTTTCTGTTTCTGCTTCTGCTCCTTGTGCTGCTGCCGCTGCTGCTACCACAACTGCTACGACGGCGAGGACGACGACTACTACTGCTGCCGCTTGTTCGTTCAAAGTTGTGATGTGGGAAATGCCCTTGGCCGAAAGTGCCACGTGAAAGGAGCGGGAACTTGGGGCGCCCAGGTTCTCAGGAGCATGGCATGGTTTGCTGGCTGGTTCATGCAGGATCAATCACAACTCTTTCAGGATATGGGCTAATTGTTTAATCACTCACGATGAGCCCGCCGGTCCTTGCTATGGGAAAACATACTGTTTCAGAAGGATTGTGCCTGTTCAGTAACGAGTCACATTGAATGCGTGCGTGTCCACGCTCCATCAGAGCCCTGACCTTTCTTCAATGCGCAAGCCTTTACCCTCAAGCCGCTGGACCGCAACCTGCCGACCTTTGCACGACCCTCTAACACCCCTGGTTGCGGTTCAGCTGCCATGCCAGGCGGCACGCTTTCCAGGCGAGTGTGCCGAGGATCATGGCGCCCGCTTTGCTTGCCTGAACCCAGGTTGGGATTCGCTTCGCGAGGCGTCTGGAAAGCTTGATGGGCTACGGCTGCAGGACACCGGTGTTTTGCAAAGAGCCTTCTACCAGCTCATTTAACCTTGGCAAACGAACAAGATCCAGCCACTGGAGTTCAACTGCGGCTGCATGATGCATGGTGGATGGCGGCAATCGATTACGCCCTGTCTTTTTCGCAGCACGTTGAGGAGTTAAGGAGCGCACGTCGTGCGGCTCCTTGCGCATGCACACTACCACAGCTCTCGCACCACAGCTTGCCGCACGTGCCCACCGTCGAACCCCATGGACAAGCACGCAGCCAGCTGCAGGTCTGCTGCCGTTTTCACGCAGAAGCTGATGGTTTTCTGCATGCCTCCAAACACGCCAAGTCCCTGGCTAAATATCCCACCCTCAGCGACGCTGCAGTTGGTTCAGGTTGAATATTCCGGCATTCCTTCTCCCCCGCCTAGGTGTGTGTTCATCATCACCGAAATCACTTGACCGACGTCATGCGATTGGATACGTAAATCGCGGCACTGTGTTGTAATCAGATTTTCTAGTCAAGACAAGACACATGTATTCGCGATGTTAAGCAGTAGCAGGACCTTGCGATTCAAGCAAAGGCCGTGACCCGGCAGGTACGGAAAAATCAAGACTAAGGGCAAGAGGTTGCGCTGCTTTTCGGATGCACATCTACCAGCTTCCAAGTTGGCAAAAGCCAGGCTTCGCATCGAGGAGCTACCGAGCCTCAGCTCCATGGCAGCCTACATGATCCGACCGTGCAAGCAGAAGTGCGGCATGACCGTTCACACACCAGCGTACATGGGCAGCACGGTGGCATCCTTTTTACGCGTGCTTGAATGCAATAACAAGGTACCGGAACATCCCCGCTTCTTTTTCAAACACCCTCCGCACTTGTGGGGAGGCGGAACCATGATGGGTGCAAAGAAGGCACGCGGCATTGCTGCGACATGTGTTGTAGCACTGTCTCTGGCATTGATGCACCTTCTTGCTCTCAGTATGCTATGGAAAAAGCCTGAGGGATGACTTGGTCAAAATGCCGCTTCCGCAGCAAGGATCCTCCTACAATTCTGGTCCGACGGGCCGAAACACGGCCGGTTACATCACCATGTTGAGCAGCTTGCCTGAGATGGCTTTGACTTTGAGGCTTTGAGTCATGCCCTCATTCGATGACTGCAGCTTGTTCCAAAATTCTCCGTTGTGCGAGAAACGCGTGACTGTCTGGATGAAGAGCGAGTCCGGACTTTCGCTCTCAAGATTCCGAGAAGTTCGATGCGGTGGGCAAGGTTCAAGGTTTCGGATGAGGGCTTCCTTTGGTTGTGGAAGGGGCAGGAAGAATTCGGGCCGAGCTGCTGATCACTGGGAAGAGGGCGAAGCTGATTCCGCTGGTCATACCCACCTGCCCATGCACGTGGGATCAACGGCTGAGGGATTGTAGGTTGTAGGCGTGAAATTGAGTCTACTGCTTGGAGCCCCAGCCTGCGAGGCTCCTGGGAGCTGAATCGGATGTTGGAGCAGGAGAGGTACTATGTCACGGTCTCACTGGCAGTGGATGTGGAGCTTGCTTGGCTTTCAATTAAGACCAAGCACAAGTTGTCAAAGGACGACAAACTGAAACCTCGTTTTCCCGGTGGTGCCTGCACACAGCGCGGGATCGCGCCAGAGAAGAAGGCGGCAGGGCCCTCGCTTCTGAGCATCTTGGTCCTTGGGCATCACGCGTGCGAATGCCGCTAGTACTCTTGTACAACAATGACCTTGCAATCTCAGGCCCTCAACCCTAAACTTTTCGGCAGGCTTGTGAAGGGGCATGGGGCTTGAGGACCGCAGCCGCGGCACGCACAGTCCAGAGTTCCGGAGTAGAGCTCCTGCAGTGGGGTAGGGCTCAAACTTCAAGGCTGCTGGTTCAGAGAAGAGCTGGAAGGCTAAGCAGTTTAGCATTAAGGGCTGAGGTCTCCAGGTTTGAGACCTTCCGATGGGCCGATCCCAGGCTTTCCTGGCTAAGCTGATGCGTAAGGGTTCCAGGTCCCGAGGCTCTGAACCATAAAGCCCGTTCGCGCAATAAGCTCCACGAATTCAGCTGGATCATTGCAGACATTAGAAGCGAGCTTGAAGCGAGCTTCTTGAAACCACGGAGCCTCTTCGACAGCCCGAGCAACAGGATCCTTGTTGCGAGGACCCCTCAACCCCAAACTTCCAAAGCTTATGCCGCACCACACGGCGCAAAACAGCTGGACCCCAGAGCCGAAACCGTAACATCCCAAATCCAACAACACAAAAAAGACAACGCCGTAAATGCTCCTAGAATCCCAGAAGATCCCCGGAACCTAAGATCCCTGAGAGCCCTCGCCACGCAACGAGGAACGAGGTCCTTGGCCGCCTCGCCTTGCATTCGGGACTTCACACAGTCCTCACGGTGGCCGCGTTTCTGGCTTTTGGAAGTTTTTGGCACTCGGGACTCGCTTTAGGGCTTGAGGTTTCGGGCATTGAAGGATTTACGAGATTTGCGTCTTTCAGGGTACGGATCTTTTCAGTATGAGATTGCTGTGATAGCTGCTCTTGAGACGCTGCTTCAAGCCCTGCGGTCGGGGCAGCAAGCAGATGTTGTTTCAAAAACTAAAAAAGCGATGAATAACATCACGCATACCAGAAGACTCTATCCCCGACCTCCGAAGCTTGCAAGAAACTGACACACAGACCAACTTAGATCCAAGAGCTCGCTATCCCTCAACACTGCATCACGCAGCACTCAGCTCACATGGCGCATCAAGGTGCATGAGGTCCGAGGCCCTGCAACGCTGTGATTCTGCCATGTCGATCCTGTGGCTGGGTCAGCAGCACGGAACCGCAGCCCGCCAAGAAGCCGGCAGCACCGTTCCTGGTAAAAGCAAGCTCACACTCCACAATCCTGCTGATGCTGTTTTCTCGAGGGCTCTAAAAACTTCACGGACCTGCCACCAAAGCCAAGTACAGCGAAGCTCATGCACCCTAGGCCTGAAACTCTTTGATGCTTCCTTCGCCTCTTCTAGAAGCTTCTGCCGGCCCGAGATCGCGCGTTTTTGGGATCCAAGTGCTTGACGCCAGTGTGCCACGTTTCGAAATCCAGTATAGACCAGCCTAAGACCTGAGACTTAAATCCAATCTACGAGTTGGCCATTGCCCTAGACCCTTGGCAGTCAAGCGGCAGAAGAGGATTCTGCTTTTGCGACTCGTCACCAAAGGAGATGACACCGAAGATGGCCACCTAAGGGCTTTTGTAGGCTTCGCAGTTCCCAGCAGCTCTGGCAAAAGGGACATGCAGTGCCCAACATCCGCCTGCAGCGGCATGCGCACTGCTTGGTTGGTGCCCTGCTTCAGGATGGTGGGGAAAGCACCTGGAAGCAGGTTCCAGCAGATTCGGGGTCAACGACTGCGAGAAATGGACGTCAGAGCAATTCAGGTTGAATTTCAGGAGTTAAACCCTACCCACTGACACGCCCGAAGCTCGGATGCCCGATGGTTGCTTGAATTCTTCGGCCAATGTGATTATCAGTCCCAGCAGACACTGAGCCACATGTATACCTGCTGAGCCTCGCAGAGCCCGCACTCCCCCATTCCTGAATTGCACCTCCAAACCTTCAGCTCCAAACCCCACCGCATGCCTCAACTTTCCTCCCAGACCGCCGACCCCAGGGCCTCGGTACAAGCCCACGGGCCCCTCGGAGCGCAAAATCTTCACCTCACTTTGCTTTCTTTGGGAGCAGAGCGTGGGGGGCTTGGCTTTTCAAAATTGCGTACGACGTCTATGACATACCTGTGAACCACGAGCAGCTCTTGCAAAGCACACATTCGCATGTACTGCCGTGCATCAACCTCTAGGCTTAATCACTACGCACCCTGGACCGTAAATCAAACCTGCAAGTCTTTGAGCACAAACCCCGACTTCTAAGACCAAAATTCTACACAGAAGCCCAACTTCGAAACCAATCGCAGCACAAATCTCAAAGCGCTACCCGAATGCACGCGCCCGAGTGCCTTCAACTAACATGGATCATGCATGGAGGTCTGAGGAGGCTGCGATGGCATCTGCGGAGCCCTGGGCAGGGGTTTTCAGTCTGCAACTGCGGACTCACACCGGCATGAAAACGGCAGACACTGACGACTCTGAAGGACGATGATACTGGTGGCGCTGGTGATGACGCTGAGGAAGACACTGATGATGATGACGATGACGATGATGATGATGATGATGGCGGTGGTAATGATGATGGCATTGGTGGTGTTGGTGGCGTTGGTGGCGTTGGTGGCAATGCTGACGGTGGTGGCGGTGGTAGCTGTGGTCGTGATGAAACCAAGTACAGCTGGCGACAATGATGGCTATGACGAAGTCGAAAGAGGACACGACGACACGCAGGACGGCATTAGTTGTAGCTGCAACTTCTTTGCTGACAGTGATGCGAATGATGATGACGAGGACGAGTTCAGGGGCATGCGATGAGAATGCCCGAAATTACACCGCAAGCTCAAAAAAAATATTCAATGCTAAGGCGAGTTTCGGAAGATGTCGGTGTGCCAAGCCTAGGCACCCAACCTTCTAAAACGAGCAACCGGCATCGTGCGTTTGAGTTTGATGCTATCCTTCATACTATATACCGTTGTAATCTTGCTTCTGAGATTATCTGACATACTGTTCCTAGTGTTTCAGCAGCATGCGGACTGTACATCCTGAGATCGTGGTGCGTTTGCCCAGTCGTCCTTCCTTCAGGCTTCGTATCATCGCTACACCTCCACGTGCACGACATGTGTGGTCACTTCTGCTTCGTAGTGTGGAAAGACCACGGTCTGAAGGGGGCAGACAGACCGTCAGAGTGCAAAGGTACCCCACGGACTCCAAACACCACAACCGTCCGAACACCAAATCTCCACCTGCGCCTGTGAGAAAAGAGCCATCAAAAAACAGGTCAGAGACGAGAGGGCGAATGGCGATGAGCCGACTCGCGAAGCCAAAAACAAACAGCCGCCAGCAATGTCGGACAGCACATCAATAGGACAACATCAAGGGCACAGAAAACGGTGCCGAGGAAACGAGAGAAGGCTACCACAGATGAAGGAAGAACGGGACAGGCAACACACCTGTGACCCCAACCACTACCCCCGAACCTCTCGGACCACGCCCGACACACCAACGCCTCACGACCCAACCCTAGCCAAGTTTCATCCAGAGTGCCCCCATGCAAAGCTGTGAGAGTGAACGATACAAAGGGCACAGGCCAGTCGCCGACAAAGGAGGGAGGGAGGATAACAGTGGGGGCCGATTGAAGGAACCGCTAGGGCCGTCAGATATCGTCAATGGAGTCACGGCCCATCACAATGGTTGAGACCTGGTCCAGCAACAACGAAGGTCAAAGCTCACAAACAACAAGGAGGGGAGCTGGGCGAAACGGCCAAAACAAGGCACCGCAACCAAAGCAGAGCGCAAAGCAACCGAGGGGATGAAGTGAGCAAAACCTCACGTAGCTGAGTGGAAGGGAAAAAAGCCAAGCCAAAGCAGAGGCGACCAACTGCAGAGAGAGCAAACTAAAGCAAAACAGAGGGGGCAGGGCAACACTGCCAGAAGCTAGAGTCATGTGCAGCCCAAACGAAACCAATTGAGTACACATGCGACACAAGTGGGAGACGTGCGAAGAAAAAGCCAAGAGCAAAGAGAAGAGACAAAATAACTAGTATAAGGGGGACCAACGTGCAAAACGCAGAGGAAACAGAAGCGGGAAGCCAAAGGGAAACACCTCGGAAAGACAGAAACACGGGAGGCACCGAGCAGCCAATGGAGGCGCGGAGGAGCTGAGGTCTACGGCCTGAACTTTAAGGTGAAAAAACAAGAAGAAAGTAGAGCCCGCAAAAGGCCTGAGCTCCAAGACGAAAACTGCCAAAACAACAAAAAGCACGCTAGACATCGCTGGACCACGAGGACCACTAGACCCAGGGACGCAAGCCGAAGCCGGAAATCAGGCGCACTTGGGAGGATGGTCAAACCATGCTCTGGCGGTGGACATCCTCTCTCATTGTCAAGCATCCCTCCCGCACAGAACTGCGATGGCGAGCCTTACCGGAAAACACGATTAACAGAAGCCAAGCGACCTTGTAGTTGCCGGTACCCCTTCTCTGGTCGTCGGTGACCCGGGTCTTGACAGTCCTAATAGACAAAGCGTGGTGACTATCTACCGCTCAAAAGTGTAAGACGTACCGAAACGCACATGCAAAGCTTGGAGAGCTAACCGACGAGGCTCTCCACCGGGGTGACAGCGAAGACCGCTTCGCAAATGCCGGCGCCGAGGCCGCAAATCACGTTCATGGATTGGCTCAGCTTGCCTGTGCGAAAGGGTTTGAAGACTTTAAGCGTTTTAGGATGTTTAGGTTTAGGGTTAAATCAGGAATTCAGTTTAGCCGGAGCTTGCCTCACACAGTTTAAAATTGTGGGTTTGGGATGTTTCGGGAGGGGGAGCTGCTTACACTCAGATCAAACCAAAGCGGCTCCAAGCTATGACGACCACGAAAGTATCTTCCCACGCTCCTCAAAAGTTGACTGCCACGTCGACAGACCCCAAAAATCCAACCGATCAGTGCCTAGATGGTTCAAGATTTGGTGCTTGGCCGACCCCGACGCCCTGCCTGTCTTCTCGTCGCGGAAGATCTGCGTCAGATTAGTGTAGGCGCCCCACCTGCTTCGAAGTTCTTGAGATTCGAAGGGCATAACAGGTACGGGCATTCCGTGGGCTTCACGAGTTTTCCGTCTGGTTAAAGATTCCTTCTAGAGTTCGTATTCAGTCCTTCCGCGACAAAGGACTTTTGCAGTCACTGGGTTAGATGTTGGGTTTGCGGTTTCGAGGTTTTACCGCCTGCATAAGGTTTGCAGAGCTTGCGGATGCCGGATGACTGAACTAATAGCCGTTCTCGCAACCTGCGTGCTAACCTGGAAAAAGCAGCACACGTATCTCCGGAAGATGGAAGGGAGAAGTTAGCCACGATCCATGTCGAGGCTCAGGGCGGGGTCCGAAGATCCAACGTGACATGGACCCTTATGAGTCATGAGTATGGATCCAGGATTTAGGCGCTATCGAATCGCAACCCTTTTCTGAGCTACTCTTGGGGCTTGCAGCACAAAACCGGTAGTGCCTGCAGAGTGTAGCAAGCTCAAACAGTAGAACCATGTGGACTCCGAAGCCATGTCAACGCGGCCTGCACATTTGCTGAAATCCTGCACCGATGATGCGCACCTCTGGCGGTTCGGAGTTTTAGAACTTTCAACTGTCGGAAATCAAGACTAGAATATTCGGTGGGTTCAGAGCTGAGGGCGTAGGTGTGGGGATTTGAATTTTCAGAACCCCATCATGAAACACGGCCTTTCGCTTTCCATTTCGAACTGGGTCTCCCCGCGCCGGCTCCTCGATACAAGCCCTTCACTCCATGCTGATCGATGGTCTTCTTGGCACAGTCGATGATGCCGGAGTACTCCGGGTTCGCCTTCCTTGTTCACAAGACGGGAATCACATCCTCTGCAGTGTGCGTTGCAGGCATGGCGAGAACAATGCAAAGATAGTAGTCGAATTTCTTTGAATGGTAGCTGACATAAATTATGGCGGGTCAGCGTTGTCACACTAAACAAACCTTCTTGACACTAACAACATACCAATTCTTAAATCCAATCCGAAAAAGCACCCCGTTTGCATGCACGGCAATACCTCAAGGTTTAACCCTAAAATCCTGCAGCCGAGACGCGACTGCAGTTGGAGTTGCGTTTTCACGTACCTCGATTTTCGGACATCGGGTGTTGGGACCCAAGCCTCAGGGGTGTAGGTAGGCAGCTATCGCAAATCATGGGCTGGAGCTTGACAAAACGGGGGCAGGTAGAGGTAGGATGGCAACAATGCTGCACTTACAGCAAACCATGGTCCTGTGCTGCCAAAAACATGCGGAATCACTCTAGGACGAGTTCCTCAACCCTGTTCTGCCCAGCCTCGGGGTACGCACTTCAGGACATTCGGGGATTCTGATTTGAAAGCCCTATCAGCACGTATCCTGCTACTGAAGTTTATTGGGATCGTTTGTTTCTGAAACGTCCATTGGAAGCTCCAAGCCTTTTGCCCGAGCCAAGAAACTCCGTCGGGTAGGTGATGGCCGCCTGCGTGCCTCCAGTGAGGAAGCCCTGCCAAGCTGCTACGTTTTCGGCTTGAGTCCCTGCACCTCATGGTAAGTTAGTCTTCCTTTATCCAAACATGCCTGCGGCTGCTTCTAAACAAGCCTCAGCCTTGCTTACAATCCCGACAGACACAGCAACTTTGAATCCGTCAGACAAAAGAGCGTCGTGCAGCACGTTACAGCTGCAAAATGGAAGACGGGTCAGTTCATTCCAGGAAACCCTGAACCGTTTATTGACGCGCGATGCTGGGAAACAGCCCGGATTGAACAATTTTTGGGGTGTGTGGCGAACTCAAACTCGTGTTGGTGCGGAGGGCTTACAGTCTCAAGTTGTCACATCCGAATGCAAAAAAACCTATAACATTCAATGTCGCAAAACCTTGAAGCTGTCAAAGCCCTAGCCATCATTCCCCTGTCCCGGCACTCCTTCACGACGGTCTTCACGCCAGAATCTTTCTTGGTGACGAATGCCATTAGCAACCGCAACTACGCCTACAAAACTGAGATAGCATCTAAGCTAAGAACCAAAAGCAGCCGGGATGATTCAGCATAAACGTCAGATGTTCGAACCGACAGATCGTAACTTGTGAAAATTAGTGCTGAATATTACCAGCAACGGAACCTGCCGAATCTTGCATCAACAGAAGCTCCGTAGTAGGGTCACATTGTATTGAATTACGTGCATAACCAGCCTGTTTGAAACATGCAACTAATGTACCCGAATGTAGCCTAGATATAAGCAGCTTGCAGCTTGCATGTTTGTTACGTTTGATAGGACTGCTGACATCCGATCCAGATTTGCACCCGCTTCTTTGCCATTTGGAAAGAGAGCTTTTGGAAAGAAGTTAGCTGTGCCAAGCAACAGACGGCACCGTCAATTGTCTGTCAACGGAAGCCCACGGCTTGTTTTGAACATTTACCGTCCCAACCCGTGCGGAGCATCGTCTGGCTCCGAAGTTGAAGTGTGATTGAATTCGCGTTTCACAACGCCGTCACAGCTCAGGGCACGGTGTGCTCCTCACAGCATTTCTTTCTTGCAACATTTGCAAGCAAAAAGTAAGATCTTTGCGATTTTGCAATTTTGCAAGTAGGCCGTAAGAAGGAACCAAAATAAACATGCTGCTTTACATATGGCTCTTGTTGTCCAGCATCTTGCTTGCATGCTACGAAAGTTAACGGAATAAACGTAGATTTACAGGGTCGCTGGCAGTTCTGGTTAGGCTCGCACTGCTCTAGCACGTAAAACGCTATCTTGTGACCAAGTTGGATCTGTAGGCTATGCGGCTAGCACGGGGCCTCAGCCCCCGTAGGCAGACGCATAAGCAAAAAGAGAACTTTCAGCTAGTTTCTGTGAAACTACGAAGTGGTGAATGTAACCACGGTCATTCCAGTTTCGGAGTAGGCGGTAGTCCTAAACTATGTTCTCAAGCTGCTGAGCTCCCTAGCCATAGGCAAAAGGCAGAACGCGGACCAGCAGAGGCTGCTGGGTCCTGGCATGTGTGGTCCAGCCCCAGGTGGGCTGGCAAGAAGACGAGAAACCGTTCGAGCCCGGCTTCCGTTTCCCACCGGTGGGTCGGGAAGAACGTGGTTACGGTACTATGAAGAAAGCAGCGCAGTACTCGGACCCCTTTCTTTTTACCAGTGGCGAAAAGCCGCTAGCGCCGGTCCGGTTTCGGGCCGTAAAGAGAAGAGACCGTGCGTGTACACAGTCCACGAAGCCGGAAACCTAGGAGCTAACCGGACGGAGTTGGTGCGGCCGGAAATCCAAATTTATCGAGCCAAGCTTGACCGGAGCACCGGACCCAGGCCAAGTAGCAACTCATGCTGTCGCAGATAAAGCTGAAGGAAAGGGGCCGCGGAGCCAGGCGTAGCGGTGCCACGGAAAGGATATCGTGCCAGTCTACCGGCGCGTGATCTTCAGCAGAAACCCCAAAAGACCCGGAGCAGCGCTGCGATTCAGCGCGTCAGCGACGGAGTTCTGAAAACCCGGAACGTGTTCAATAGCTACCGAAATGCGATGCCATTCCTGCAGGCGCATGAATGACCGGAGAACGTAGCAGAGGCCACGGGCCATCGAAAGGCCCTTCCATGAGTATCGCAGCGAAGTAGAACATGCACCGGGGGATGACTGCACGGGAGAAGACGGTGAAGCAGAACCACCAGGGCACATTGTTGCTAAAAGCTCCCAGGCACAGATAAATGACTGGAGCGACGCAAAGGCAGACGTCCAAAGAGGTACGATTGGGACACAGGGTGGGGAGAGAAGTGTGAGAAGTGACGCCGGTAATTCCTTTCCAACGGCCGTTTTGACAAACCTAGACCGGAGTTCAGCGTCACTACTGGGACTTACCACTGTGGCGGGAAAGCGCGACTGCAGGTGTAGGGCTTGGGAGGCGCCGGGTATGCGCGAGTATGCGCGAGTGTGCGCGGGTATGCGCGAGTATGTGCGGGTGTGCGCGAGTGCGCGTGAGTGTGCGCGAGTATGCGCGAGTATGCGCGAGTGTGCGCGAGTATGCGCGAGTGTGCGCGAGTATGCGCGAGTGTGCGCGAGTATGCCCGAGTATGCGCGGAGCGCGGGTATGCGCGAGTATGCGCGAGTGTGCGCGAGTGTGCGCGAGTATGCGCGAGTATGCGCGGGTGTGAGCAATTGTGTGCGATTATGTGCGAGTATGCGCGAGTGTGCGCGAGTGTGCGCGAGTATGCCCGAGAAAAAAAAATATATATATATGCGCGGAGCGCGGGTATGCGCGAGTATGCACAAGTATGCGCGGGTATGCGCAGGTATGCGCCAGTATGCGCGAGTATGCGCGGGCATGCGTGGGCATCCGCGAGTATCCGCATGGTATGGGCGAGTACTGCCGGGTTGCGTGTTAGAACCCTTAACTTTTTGCGAGGGCCGAAAACCACAGCCGAGAACCACAGGGCTTAGATGACCGACGCTTTGTGGTCTTAGGCCTAAAACCTCATTTTGTCATGGGGCCTTTTCTGGAAGCTGTGTATGTTGGCTAAGAATGAAAAATACGATTTTTTTACCAAAATCAGCCCGGTACGATCTTCTTGAATCTTATATTGAATCGTATAAGACAACAGTACAAATGTGGCATCCCCCTGGAAAATCGTATTGAATCTTGTTTGTTCACATCGCTCACCCGCGGGTAACTGTGCGGAGTTGTGACTTTTCGTTGGAAAAGTGCAAACATTCGATGCCGTTTCGCGGGGGCGAGCCCCCGCGCCCCGTGGATCGAGGGCTTTCCCCCCTCCAGCTCCTCCCCTTCCCCCCCAGCCCCCACCTGAGGAAAGAGGGGGGGGACCCCCCCGTTGCCCCCCCCCCCGTGGAAGCGAAATTGAAAATCGTTTGTGTTTATGGATCTTTGCTTGGATAGATAGATAAAGATTTTGTTTGGGGGGAGCACCTTTTGATAAATCGGCCCCCGTCGCCCTTGACGATGTGCTTCTCTGTGTTCAAAAATTTGTCCGGATTTGCCTCTTCTTGTCTTGTTTTGGCGTTTTCTTGACGTTTGTCGTCACTATTTGTCTATATTTGTCCGTTTTGGCCATGACTGCCGAACAAGCCTTGGGGATCAATTCCCTGTGGATTTGGATCGTCGGCAGATGTCTGGCTCAATCACCCCAACGTGGATTGAGCAGTTTTTCCCAAATCCGGGTTCTCCTATTGAAAAATCCTACCGAAACAAACATGACCAGACTGAGCCAGATTTGATACATCCTTTTGTTCTTCCAAACAGAGAATGATTATACACCACAGGGGCGCCGTTGTGATTCGTGCTTCGGGAGGGAGTTTTGAGCAGAAGATCCTGACCAAGCGCCACCACAACACACAACAACAGACTTGCACAAAAAAGTCAAAACAAAGGCAAGCAATCAACAACAAGTACAACCATAAACAACAGACAGTTATACAAATACAATAAATTGAATCAAAACAAACACAAAAGTACAAAGTCCGCCAAGCACGTGACAAAATGAGGCTTTACGCCGGCCAATTTAGCCTTATCCATTTAAGCCCTGTGGTTCTGGACCGCTCCAAAAAGGGCAAGGATGATATATCAATATATACGTGGCCGATTGTACTTTATAATTATATGTTTCATATTTATGTGATGTAAAGTAGTAATACTGCGCAGTATATACTGTGTTTATTATATTGAAGGTTATACGTATGACGAACACTCAAATCATATGCGTTCGACAATATATGCTGTTTATGTTTTCGACGTTATATAATGTGATAAGTATGAATTATGTTTGTTATTTACTGTCATTCTTAGTGTGTGTGTGTGTATATATATATGTTTGTATATACATAGAAGGCGGCCGCCAGGGGGAATGTGGCAAACGACCTGATGCCGAATCCGAATTCCTGAAGCCGCTTTGCTTTAGGTGACGCCACATTGTCTGATGCCGAATTGTCCCCTGGCTCCGAATTGGGTCGTGACGCCGAACTGTTTCCTGATGCCGCATCGGGTGGTGACGACGAATTGTGAAGCCGCATTGGGTGGTGACGTCGAATTGCTGAAACCACATTAGGTGGTGACGCCGAATTGCTGACGCTTCGTTAGGTGGTGACGCCGGATTGGTGACGCCGCATTAGGTGGTGACGCCGAAGTCCTGACGCCACATTAGGTGGTGACGTCGAATTGGGTCATGACGCCGGATTGTGAAGCCACATTACTCGAGGCTCATGGATCTGATGCCAGAACCCAGAACCCTTGCAGATCTTGAAAAGCGAGGGTGGGGCTTTGGATTGACGGAGCGCCCCTGATTTTCAAATCAGAGCTCGTATAGATGTTGAATTCGGAGGATAGAGCCTAGGACTGATGACTGATGCTGCGCCCCTGGTTTTCTAAAGCAGACCACGTATAGATCTTGAACTCCGAGGCTGGGGTTTCGGACGGATGGAACGACCCTTTTTTTCCAAGCAGAACTCGTATGGATTTCGAACTCCGAGGGTAGGGCCTTGGACCGATGAAGCGCCCCTGATGTCTAAATCAGAACTCGTATAGATCTTGATCAACGAGGATAGGGGCTTGCCCTGATGGTGCACCCCTGGTTTTACCAAGAGAGCTCTGAAAGATCTGGAACTCTGGGGATTATGCTTTGGACTGATGGAGCGACCCTTATTTTGCAAAACAGCACTCGTATAGATCTTGAACTCCGAGGCTGGGGCTTGGGACTGATGGGGCGACCCTGGTTGCTTGAATCAGAACTCTTATTAAATAGATCTTGAACTTTGAGGATATTATAAGACCCTGGACTGACGGCGCGCCCTGATTTTTACATCAGAACCCTTACAGATCTTGAACTCCGAAGATAAGGCCTTAGACTGATGCTGCGCCCCTCATGTTTAAATCAGAACTCTCATAGACCTTGAACTCCGAGGATAAAGCCTTGCACTGATGGGGCACGCCTGATGTTTCACAACAGATCTCTGATAGATCTGGACTTCTGGGTGA